CCTGCAGAGTCCTACTGGTCACAGGGCCTGGCTCCTGCACGCACTCCTGACAATGAGTTGCTTACCTGAGGATTAGAGAGACAAGGAAAGGGTGTGTGCATGTGTTGTGTGTGCATGTGGAAGCAGAAGATGTGTTAGGCCACAGAATGCAGATGCAAATAGGAAAAGCATACCATGGCAATTGTATTAAAAATGGTGACCAGACCTTTTGCCTGCTGCAATCAATAATGGGTTCTGTGGCTTCCCATCTGTAAAGTATTCCCCACGGTAATTTTCAGCTGACAAGGATTTCAAGGGGATGCCAGTCAGAGCCACCAAACTTCATGAAGCTTGCGTCTTTTCTTCACGAAAGGCTCAGCAAAATATTCCAGTCTCTAAATATTGTGCCCTAGACTTACACTCCATCTCCCTTGAAACAATACGGCAAAACATATTCCAAAGAATGACACTGACCTTTGGTTATACATAGCAGTGTCCTGAATGGGTGCAACTGTATTGCAACAGCTAACTGCTGCACTTTTCCTTCTCCATTATTGTTATTACGATTATTTCACATTTGCTACGTTTTTAATATATATATAAAGAACATTTTCCAGACATGTTCAATTAGAGGGTAGCATAATATTGCCAACCCTTGTGAGATGTGTAGCGTTGTAATTAACTTGTGAGATGAAAACTTAATTATATAGAATGCTCTTGCTTGTTAGGAATCTCTCTTATTATGACGGACAGTTTAGGTCTTTCCCCTTTCCCCTCTTTTCCTTTTGTTCCTTGCTAATGTTGAAGTAAATTGTTCGTGGATGTGTTCTTTTCAGGATCTCAGGTGGTTTGGAGATAATTTTCACTGCAACCACAGGAGTTTGTCACGTAACAGGGGTGCGAGGGCAGCCAAATGTCTCTGCATATAGTTTGTAAGGTGGAAAAGGGCATTGCCTCGTGCATGAACTGCTTGATGGAAATACACTGGAACCTCGGGTTGCAAACGTGATCTGTGTGGAAGGCATGTTCGCAACCTGCAGCGTTCGCAACCTGCAGCGCCGTGTCTGTGCATGCGCGGGTTGCAATTCAGTGCTTCTGCGCATGTGAGAGTGCTGAAACCCGGAAGTAACCAGTTTTGGTACTTCTGGGTTCGGCGCGGTGTGCAACCAGAAAACACGTAACCTGAAGCATCTGTAACTCGAGGTACCACTGTATGGGATACAAATGTGATGCAGTTTTTATTATACAGTGGTACCTTGGTTCTCAAACTTAATCTGTTCCAGAAGTCCGTTCCAAAACCAAAGCGTTCCAAAACCAAGGCACGCTTTCCCATAGAAAATAATGCAAAATGGATTAATCTGGTCCAGACTTTTAAAAACAACCCCTAAAACAGCAATTTAACATGAATTTTACTATCTAATGAGACCACTGATCCATAAATTGAAAGCAATAAACAATGTAATGCAGTCACACGATCAATGAATCAGTAGCTGAACTGGGCTCCACACAGTCAGAAAAACAAAAAAAGAGAGCTGCAGAAACAAAACCGCAAAATAGATAGTAAAAGCAGACAGACCTCAGTGTAACACTCAAAATGGAAGTGTGGCACTCAAAACAGAAGCGTGGCACTCAAATCGGAAGCGTAATACTCAAAACAGAAGTGTGGCACTCAAAACAGAGCATGTTCGGCTTCCAAAAAAAGCCGAACTGAAACACTTCCTTCCGGGTTTGCAGTGTTCGGGTTCCAAGTTGTTTGAGTACCAAGGCGTTTGAGAACCAAGGTGCCACTGTATTGTAAATCGTTTCAGTGTCATGGGAAGTGCTTCATACATCAAATAACTAAATGAAAAAAGAGCTAGGCTGTTGTCGTTTTGCTTTGTGACAATACACGTGGGACTTTTCCAAGTGGTATTGTACTTGCCTAGTGCTTCAGTTGTGAAATGCACTTTTACCTTTCCAGTGAAGAAGAAGAAGAAGAGTTTGGATTTGATATCCCGTCTTTCACTCCCTTTAAGGAGTCTCAAAGCGGCTAACATTCTCCTTTCCCTTCCTCCCCCACAACAAACACTCTGTGAGGTGAGTGGGGCTGAGAGACTTCAAAGAAGTGTGACTGGCCCAAGGTCACCCAGCAGCTGCATGTGGAGGAGCAGGGACGCGAACCCGGTTCCCCAGATTACGAGTCCACCACTCTTAACCACTACACCACACTGGCTCTCGACAATGAGGTGCATTTGCTTGCAGGGTGATTTAGCTGCATTGATGTACCAATCAGATCTAATAATTTATGATGTACTCTGCATTCATTTCATTAATGCAATTGTATCAATGGTTTTATGCAGGACTTTTTTTCACCACCATGTTTGGATTGCTGCAAATGCACTCTATATGAGGCCACCCACGAGGTTTGTCTGCAGGCTGCTGTTGGTGCAGAACATGTTGCCTAGGTTGCTTGTGGGGGCAAACTACTGCCAACAACACATAACACGTTGCTTGTGGGATTTCCACTGGCTGCTAATCTGCTACCAGGCCAAGTTCAAGGTCTTGGTATTAAAAACTTATTAGGCCCTGTGCTGCTCAGGACCAGGCTACTTGAGAGAGGTCATTGTGGTCTGTAAGAGATCTCAGATCTCAAAAGCCCACTCCATGCTAACTCAGAGCAGAGCGATGCTCCTGTTCTGTGGAAGAAGCATTCCTGTTGTGATATGACAAACACCCACCATATGCACTTTCTGGAAAGAATTGAAGACAACTGATAGACTATATGCAACTGGCTGAAATGACTGGCAGAATCCGTGACCTGGGAGAAGAGAGAATCGAGGAGGATTGGAAGAAATTTAAGAACTACCTACAAAAACATTGTGATTTGATTGAATGTTGAATAAGATGCTGGACTAAATAACTGAGCACCACTTAACTTAGAAATTTTTAAGGAAACAAGAAAAATTGTGAAAGTTTAACTCTTTATGAGAACTTTAAGATTATGAAATATCGAAGAGATATAAGAATTTAAATAAGATGATAAATTGCTGACAAAATGTTATAATGATGAAGGTGGGAGCGGGAGATGTGAGGAAGTCCAAAGATAATGTGAAATTATGTTAAGACGAATGCTATATTGTTTATTACATCTATTCTTATTGTAAAACCCAATAAATTGCTTTAAAAAAAAAAAAAAGAAGACATTTATGTTCTGTTGGGTCTTTCCAGCTGCATGGCTGGATCTCTGCCATGGGTGTCTATTTTGTATTGTTTTGTTTTAAAAAATATATCTGCTTTTTGGTGTTTTTAACCGTTTGCTGCTTTTTAAATTGTGTATTGCCTTGAGACACTTATGTATGAGGCGATTAATAATAATAAGTTGGTAATATAAAAATATGGGAGAGATAATGGGAGCCAAATCACAGCCGGGGTGAATTTTCATTAGGTCTGCAGTGTGGCACGAAAGTGTGAACCACTTCTTCCCATCTGTGGTGGACCCAATCCTATTTGGGACATTAACAACTAGTTTTTTAAAAGAGCTGGACAAAAATGTTAATTGTTTAGCATCATGTATAGTTAGCCCGAGTTCTGGGTGGAAATTCTCTACTTCAAAATCCTGCATCTGCCATCAACTCAGTAAGTGGATTTAGGACAGACTCATTGTTGCCCTAAAGAAGGCTGATCGCCGAAGAATTGATGCTTTTGAATTATGGTGCTGGAGGAGACTCTTGAGAGTCCCATGGACTGCAAGAAGATTAAACCTATCCATTCTTAAGGAAATCAGCCCTGAGTGCTCACTGGAAGGACAGATCGTGAAGCTGAGGCTCCAATACTTTGGCCACCTCATGAGAGAGAAGACTCCTGGAAAAGACCCTGATGTTGGGAAAGATGGAGGGCACAAGGAGAAGGGGATGACAGAGGACGAGATGGTTGGACAGTGTTCTCGAAGCTACCAGCATGAGTTTGACCAAACTGCGGGAGGCAGTGGAAGAGAAGAGTGCCTGGCATGCTCTGGTCCATGGGGTCATGAAGAGTCGGACACGACTAAACAACTAAACAACAATAACATTGTTGCCCATTTTTATAAACATTATTTATTGCAAGCATTGCTCATAGTCTTCTAAGGGCATTTCCAGACTGTCGCTATTTTCATGTGCGATTCTGTCACATACCGGCAAATTCAGGTTGCGCAACTGCAGTTGACTGGGAGGCTGGGCACAACAAATCAGCTTTGCCAAAAACAGCATACTTCTGGCAAGAAGGAAAGTGACTTGCAAAAGCAATGGAGAGTGTGAGATAATACTTGTTTCAGTGCAGTGTCTAGCCTCCCCCCAAGCATATCAGACTGAATGGTCATTAAATAGCCAACGCTGTCTCATTTCCCCCGCAAACAAATCAGGAAGAATGCTCAAAAAAGGGTCATCTGGAAGTGCCCTTATTTGCTCAACAATGAGGGCTAGAAACCTGCTGTTAAAAAGATATGAAGACTCAGAGATTCTTTGGCTGAATTCTGTGGTCAGTACTTCATCAAGCGCTTCTGTGGAATGTTCCCTAATTATAACTTTTCTGTTAAAAAGTGTGATGGGATCACATTCTTGAATCCAATTGAGCAGATTAAATTTCTCATTTAGAACCAAACAAGAATGTTTGGCTTTCCAAAATGTCAGGGAATAATTCAAGGCAAAGAGCATTTTGCTAATCAAGATCAACATCGACTGATTTATTGCCAGGGTAAATCTGCCTATAAATGGAGTAGCAGGAAATTCTTTTCCGTGTGTATACACTGTTAAAAGAATAAAAGTAGCTTCCGCCTCATGGTAAAACACAATTAAAAATTACACTGTAGCTTACAAACTCAGCAAAGCACACAAAACCTTAGGACTTGCAATATAAATTCTGAGTGATAGTTCCTTTTGTCTGCATTTCTAATATTTATGTACAAATGCTGCATTGTCTGGCTGGAAAAAAATCACTGAGAAAATGCTTTGGAGGGTGTTTAAATAAAATATGCTTGGTAAGAGCATGACTATTCTGTGTTTGAAGCTGGGATAGCTCAGCTGGTAAAGCATGAGACTGCTGATCCCACAGTCGTGGGTTTGAGCCCCATGTTGGGCAAATGGTTCCTGCATTGCAGGGGGTTAGACGAGATGACCCTCGTGGTCTCTTCCAACTCTACAATTATATGATTCTTCTACTAATCAAGCCTTCTACCAATCAAGGTGTTATGTACTAAGCTTGGATCCTAGAACAATAGGCAGGTAGGACCCTAGAATGCAACAACTGATTGGCTTGCAGGAGAAGACCAATCAGGCTCCAGCAGGAAGTTAATCAGCCTATTAGGCTGGTAGGAACATAGAATGCAACAACTGATTGGCCTGCAGGAGAAGACCAATCAGGCTCCAGGAGGGAAGCAGAATCAGCCAATCAGACAGGACTCATTGTGTAAATAATGTATATAAAACCTGAGGTTTTGGGGGAAATTCAATCACTGTTTTACAAGCTGCCATTGAGAGCATGAAATCACTGCAGGACTCCGAGTATATTTCACAAGGCAATGGGACTATAAGCTCTGAGCCCAAATGGAGCCAGAATTAGTTCAGGAGACTATTGGGCGATCTCTAAAAATCTAAATTTTCTATTGTCACTTTTGCTTGGGGCAAAACAAAACCCAAAACTGGCCAGCTGCAAAAATGGCTTTCTGACTGTAATCATCAGTCGTGAATCTGCCTAAAAGTAAAAATAAATAATATAATATAATTGCAAGTCATGTTCGTGCCTTGAGAAGGAAGCTGATTGCTATGATGGAAGGATTTTCCAATCAGTGAAGTAAACTTTGCGCCCTTGATTTCTTGCCATGTGGAGCTGTTTTTTCCTCCTCAGACTGTAATTATTAAGACAGCGATCTGATACTCTAAAATAAATATTGTAGCCTTAATCTGCATTTGCCTTGAGCTTTCCAGGGAACCACCATCAGTCAGTGTAACAGACAGTACTGAGCTAGATGGACCAACAATCTGCTGCAGTCTAAGGAAGAAGAATAAGAATTTGGACTTGATATCCCACCTTTCACTCCCCTTAAGGAGTCTCAAAGCAGCTAACAATCTTTTTTCCCTTCCTCCCCCACAACAAACACTCTGTGAGATGATATTCAGGTAGGTAGCAGTGATTCAGGTAGGTATCTGAAGAAGTGTGCATGCACACAAAAGCTTATACCAAAAACTAATTTAGTTGGTCTCCAAGGTGCTACTGTGTGTGTGTGTGTGTGTGTGTGTGTGTGTGTGTGTATGTGTGTGTATATATATATATATATATATATATATATATATATATAGGTACCTCTGACCGCTAGGTCCAGTCATGGATGACTCTGGGGTTGCGGCGCTCAACTCGCTCTATAGACCGAACAACGGGAGCTTACCCCGTCACGGGTATATATATATATCAATTGCACCAGACAGGTATCTGAAGAAGTGTGCATGCACACAAAAGCTTATACCAAGAACAAACTTAGTTGGTCTCTAATGTGCTACTGGATATATGGTATGTATATATATATATATATATATATATATATATATATATATATATATCGTCTGTGAGGTGAGTGAGGCTGAGAGACTTCAGAGAAGTGTGCCCAACCCAAGGTCACCCAGCAGCTTCATGTGGAGGAGCGGGGACGCGAACCTGGTTCACCAGATTAAGAGTCCACCGCTCTTAACCACTACACCACACTGGCTCTCTTCCTATGCTTCCTATGTTCCTAATATTACCCTTACAGTGGATGTGGCAGAAGGGGACATTTGTGCTTGCGTGTGTGTGCCCTTCCTTTCTTAAGGTTGCAATTCTAGGCACATTTACCTGGGAATAAGCTCCACTGAATCAATGCTGTACAAATATGGTGAACTGAACTCGAGACTTGGGGAAAAAATGAGAAACCGACATGGACAGATTTATCCATCCCTGTCAGGTGCTAAAATGTTGATGGATAGTTCCAGTCCCCCTGCTTTCCCTCAGGGTTCTTTACCTTTAAACCAGACTTAATTGGACCACATTTTAAATAGTGGACTGTTTTCTGTAAAGTAGTATGTAGAATCATAGATCTTTAGAATTGGAGAGTTGGAAGGGAGACCACAAGTCCTCATTAAGTCCAACCCCCAGTAATGCAGTAATCTTTTTGCCCACCATGGTGCTCGAACCCATGACCTTGGGATTAAGAGTCTCATACTCTGTTGACTAAGTTATACATGTGGCCGCTCTTTTTCTCTACCTGCCCTGAGGTGCCTTCACCTCCCAATTTTTTAGGGCAGGAAGGAGGAGGTGCTTGAGTAAGCTCAAGGTCTTGTCTTGGTTTGAGAAGGATTTCAGCAGCCGTCAAGCTTTTGCTCCTTGGGGGTGGCAGTTTCTGCTTCCTTCTTTTTATTCCCTTTTACTGACTCCATCTCTGCTGGACTTAATACAGCCACTGAGTGCAGGGTACGCTGCTTTTAATGCCCGTTTAATTGCTATTTGTTCCACATTGCAGGTTTAAGGACTTTCCTGAAAGCTGCAATTGTGCATCAGTGCACCAAAGGAAAAGCAAGGTTCAGAAGTTATTTTTATGACCATGTTTGTGATGGAGCGCACAAAGGGAATTAAAATTACAGAGGAAATTACTCACTTGCTGCCCCCCCACTGGCTGTTAAAAAGTAATGGGTCTCAATTGCAGGGCATGCCATGGCAATGCAGCCAGGAAATGGCAAGGCATCCCCAGCCCCACAGTCCACTTCTCCCACAGTGTGCATCAATCATGTTTAGCCAGTGCATGCATTATTACATTTCAAGCCAGAGCAATGGCTAGAAAACAGGCTTTAAAGTCAAGAGAAGAACAGGAAAACACTGGGCTGCAGCGGTCTGAATTTTCCGTAATTACTGAATGAATTAATACGACTGATTCCAGAGAAATGGGCTAGTGTGGAAGAAGCAGACCCCCCCCCCCAGTGAGATTTACAGCTGCACAGCACCTTGACTTTGGGGTTCTTACATCCAAATCTTATAGTGTAGATTTTGCACCGCTCTGTGTCTAAGAGGTGGAGGAGACCAGGGTTGTCATTGGGAGGAAATGCACAGAGAAGGCCAAGTCGGTTTCTCTTCTTTGTTTACATAGTTTGCACTTGAAAAACCATCTCTGAGCAACCAGTGACTGATAAGTGGGAGAAAAGTTATCTGCTCACTCAGCAACATATATTTCGCTCTACTTGCTAAGACCTATAAATTATAACAAGTTGCTTTGAAATATACTCGGAGTCGAGTGTGAATTTCATGCTCTTTATTCAGCTCGTAGTGGCAATGAATGAAACTCCCCCCAAAACATCTAGCTATATGTACATTATTTACACAATGGGCCCTGCGTGAATGGCTAATTCCGGGCTGCTCCTGCAGGCCAATCAGGTCACTGATTCACTTCCACCTGGAGCTGGATCGGGTGGCTCCTGCGGGCCAATCAGACTGCTGCATTTTGGATCCTATTGTTCTAGGATTCAGCTCAGTACATAACATGCTCCATTACTATTTAAAAAATAAAATAAAGAGCTCTCATACCAGAAGCTTTGCATCTCGTGCACTTGTATCTTGCTAGGTTAAAGTTGATTTGGTTTTATGAGTGTGAAGAATATGGCTACTCTGAAGCTGAATCAAGACATTGCTTGAGTGACATAAACCAGAGGCAGGTGATACATTGGGGTGAATGTTCTGAGATGAATGCAATTCATTAAAGTGCAGTATGCAATGATCACACTTTTGCTTCTGGTTTATAATGATTGTGGTGGCTTTATGCTATTTTTTAAAAATGGAAGAACCTGAAAATTCAGGCATGGTTGGAAGAAACAGGTGAACTAGACCCATTTCAATCTGGCTTCAGGCCAGAAACCATATTGATTGTCCTGACTCATTGCTTTTGTTAGGAATGGGACACGGAGGAGTGCAAGTCTATTGATTCTCCTCGATATTTTGACATTTTGTATACCATTGCCCATGATATCCTCTGCAGATTGGGAGCAGGAGTGACAATGGTGATTCCACTTCTATGGAGTGGACAACATTGGCAACCCCTAAATGATATTATTTAGAAGCGCTGAAGCCACTGCAGCCTTGCTATTTTCTGTGCCACACACAGCAATACCAAAAGAAGAAGAAGAAGAGTTTGGATTTGATATCCCGCCTTTCACTCCCTTTTAAGGAGTCTCAAAGCGGCTAACATTCTCCTTCCCCTTCCTCCCCCACAACAAACACTCTGTGAGGTGAGTGGGGCTGAGAGACTTCAAAGAAGTGTGACTGGCCCAAGGCCACCCAGCAGCTGCATGTGGAGGAGCGGGGAAGCGAACCCGGTTCCCCAGATTACGAGACTACCGCTCTTAACCACTACACCACACTGGCTCTGAGATCAGTGAACTGGATCTGCCACGTGGGAACACACCATGTGATTTAACAAGGGATGTAGAAAGGAGTCATGCTCCAGTATTTCCTATGGGCGCAAAACATTGTGATGGCCCAAAGAGTGTACCATCACTGTGATTTGGAAACAATTATTTGCCATAGCCAACTCCATGCCAGTTTTTCCTCCTTGGTTTTGGTATCTGCAAGGACTAAAGGACAGATTGAGTCAAGCTCAGTTGTGGATGATTTCTTTAAACTATAAAGTTTGTATATTCCAAATATTCAGTTAGTTGTTTTTTCTTTTTCTTTTAAACCATACTCAGCTTCAGAGCTTCTCTCTCCCTATTTCTGCTTAGGGCTCCAAGGCTTTTCTTTCGTGTTTTATCAAATTACATACTGAAGCAAGGCCTCCATTTCAGAGACAGATGGATTTAATGTGTATGAAAATAGATGCCTTTTAAAGGAACTAAATTAGTAGTTCCACTTTTCTTCCCCCCTTTTTATTGAAGACAGAGCCGACGATCTCCAAAAGCACAATTTAACAGACATACGTAAAAAAAGCAAAGGCATAATCCAGCCAAAATTAAGCATGCTTTAGTCCCACTGATTTCAACAAGAGAGATTTGAACATGCAATTAAGTAGCACATTGAAATCAATGGAAATCAATGGGAATTAAGAAGGCCTTCATTTTGGTTGTCATAACCCAACTTATTTTCTTACCATCTAGAATATGTAAGAGAACTTCTAACCAGTGCCAGCCATGCCAGTTTCTAATAGCAGTGCAAAAACCTGTTTCTGGTGACACAACAATGATTTGAAAAGTATTTTGAGACTTGAGTATTTTGTATTTACTTGTTGCACATCTGCAGCTAATGGAGTGAAGAAGCAGGTTCTTCGCAGGAAATTTCAGAGAACATTTAATGCCTCTCAGTTACAGAGAGCAGTGTGGTTTTCCTCCATGCTCTGTCCAGAAATATCTGCTACTAGTGTGCATGGGCACCAGGAGTCACCTTGCATTTGTGTCTGTGCATTATTTTTTAAAAATCTGATCTGTTTCTAAAGTAGCACTGTTCACTCTTACTTTGATATGTAATTGAGTCCTGTTTTAAAACAAAGCTCTCTGTTCCCTCCATTCACTATAATAGAAGACCAAAAATCAGGTATCAGGTATAACTTTCCCCCTTTGGGCCAAAGTGGATGAAATTTACAGGCACAAGAGCACTTTCAGAGTAGATTAAGCCTGCCAAATTGCAAACAAACTAGTCCAAGGGCTTTTTTCTGTGGGACAAATATAAGGGATTCACTTTCTTTCCCAATCCTTTATTGGGGAGCAGGAGAGCTGGAATTTGTCACGTCCTTACCTTAAAATAATTAGGTAAGTGCTGTGTACAATTTGAACACTTTTCAGCTTCATGCTGGCTTTTCTTTCTCGTTGTTGTCCCTGTGAGGCTTTACAGGTCTGCAAGACCCTACAATTTGCGTTTTTCTAGTATACTGAAAAGCTCTAGGTTTTGTTTTGTTTTTGTAAAAGCAGAGTAGTGTAGGACTTTTTAAAAACCTTAAATGAAGCATTTAAGTTTATTTAAAAAAAATATCTGCTGCAATGCTTAAAAAACAATCCTTCAGTGCTCTGCAGGTAAGATGGACAGCTTTGCAGACATAGGGAAATATAGAGGTATTATATAGGAAAACAGAGAGTGCAGAAATAGTGAAACAGTGTTTTGTGGCTTTGTGAGGTTTTTTTTGGAGGGGTACTGACATCACACCTTGATTTAGGGGAGAGGGGAGAACCCCAAACTGCCACAAATTGCCTTGTTATTCAGCCCCCACATAAAGCCTAATATGCCCCCACATAAAGCCTAATACACACCTAATATCTGCAAATTCTCCCACATAGAAATGGTAAGCTTTTCATACAGACAAGTCCTAAATTTCTTGCAAAATTAAATTCAGTGTCTGGAATACTTATGATGAATCAAAGAGCTAAACTACACATTAAATAGAAAATCCATGAATTGGATATGCTGAAACCCTCCTCCCACCCAATGAAACGCAGCTATGGAGGGCTGCCAACTTCTTTGGAGTAGTGGGCAGAAGGAGTGCTTAACCCCTTTCCCTCAGTTACATTTCTTTCCAGCTGTTTTCCTCTATGGGAAAACTGTGCTCCAAAGAAATTGGCAGCCTCCTGCCATGGCTTTATTTCTATGAAAAAAGAAGATTCAGTCGTGGATCTGCCATACAACTGCTGCCTTGCTATGTGATGGGGAAGAGATGGAGATGTCAAAGAGAAAAACAACCAGACTTTTAGAAGACATCTGAAGGCAGCCCTGTTTAGGGAAGCTGGAATATACTCGGAATCGAGTGTGGATTTCATGCTCTTTATTCAGCTCATAGTACTGAGGAATGAAAGTTCCCCCAAGATATCTGCTTTATATACATTATTTACACAATGGGCCGCACGTGATTGGCTAATTCTGGGATTCTCCTGTAGGCCAATCAGGTTGCGGATTCACTTCCACCTGGAGCTGGATTGAGTGGCTCCTGCAGACCAATCATACTGCTGCATTGTTCTAGGACCAATCAGACTGCTGCATTCTGGACCCTATTGTTCTAGGACCAATCAGACTGCTGCATTCTGAATCCTATTGCTCTAGGACCAATCAGACTGCTGCCTTTTGGATCCTATTCAACTCAGTACATAACAGAAGCTTTTAGTATTTAATAGACTATTGTATTTTAATATTCTGTTGGAAGCCACCCAGAATGGCTGGGGAAACCCAGCCAGATGGGCCGGGTATAAATAATAAATTGTTGTTGTTGTTGTTGTTGTTGTTGTTGT